GAAAGGGAGGAAACTATCAAAAAAAATTTTTTTTTACTTTATAAACTAAATATTATTTTTTTTAATAAAATAAGTCCAGATTTAATATTAATTCAAAAAAAATTTTTTTAGTAATTTCTTCCCTTTCTATTGCAAAGAACCTATATATTCTCACTAAAGGATCAGCTTATTAGCTTTTTGTATATTTTACTAATTAATAAGCTGCAAGTAATCACATAAGAATAGTTAATGATATCTTATATAATTTATGATTTCTGAATTGCTGAACCCAATTTTTTTTTGTTATAATAATAGCTATTTTAGCCTTTTAATAAAATATAATATGTAATGATAAAAATAGAATTTTTTAAAATTCAATTTTAAGAATTGCAACATATTAATTAAACAATTAATAAAAATATTTTATTAATATAATAGATTTCAAAATGTTTATAATAAAAAATAGCTCTGTTACAAATAAAAAATTTACTCAATATCTCATTTTCAATTATGCAATATTTTTATCATTTTTCTATATATTTCTAATTTATATATAATATTATTTGAAATTAAAATATCTAAAATTATATTTCAGATAGAATATGAATTTTAGATACAAAGCTATCTAAAATTGGAATATCTGAAATTTAATTACAAATAGAATCTAATTTCATATATAAGGTCATTTAAAATTAAGATATTTAAATTAAACTTTAGATAGAACTTGAATTTTAGATATAAAGTTATCTTAAATTGAATATCTAAAATTAAACTTTAAATAGAATCTGAATTTTATACGAATTATATTTTTATAAATTAAAATTAAAGTGATATGAAGAATTTATTATCTATATGTATTGTACATAAGCAAATGATTTTTTTAACTGTTTCTTTTATTTATTTTTTGACTATTCTATTGTAATAAAAAAATTAACTATTCCTTTTCTATAATTAAAATTTAAAAATATTTATTAAAAAGTTCAACTTAAAAATAGAATAATTATATAAGTAACTCTTAAAAGAAAGGTTTTCTTTTCTATTACTTCCTACTATTATAAAAGAATTTTTAAAAAATGTAAATATGTTTAATATGATCTTCAATATTTTTTGCTTTTTCAAGTTGGTTTACTATGATCTGAAGTTTTAAAAAAACATGGAAAATGATGAAAATTATTAAATAAAATCACTTATTTAATAATATAAACTTTAAAGTAGTTAAATTCCTTCATAAAAATAAAATAGAAATAAAATAAAACTAAAAAAAATAATAAAAGCTTTATATATGTTATAACTAAAGATAGACATCGCAATTCTGCGTCCCACTATTCAGATGATAAATATAAAATCGATATATCTCCAAAAAAATCTTTATTTTCGTTTCTTTTTCAATAGATAAACCTTTCCATTCTTTCAAAATTTCAGAATTATGACTTATTTTAACATATATGATAGTTATTTTGACGGAGTTAAAATGATTTTGAAACGAAAAAATGATTATCATACTAATAAAAATTAGCATTAATAAACTCTGGCACCCGGGTCAATTTTAAATTTCAATATTATGTGAACTAAAACATCGAAATTGCGTGGTCTTATCTTCTGATAATTGATTCACTCCAAATTAAGTTCACTGCGAAAAGTTTCTGATTTGAAAAAATTGTTTCGCCCAAAACATTATTATTTTTTAAAATTTTGGTAATATATTTTGATTTTTATTTTAAAAAGTTCACGATTCCAAGATATACATAAATTTATTTTAATCACGTGAATCTGTTTATTATTTTTACCAAAAAAATATTAAAATAATTCAGCAATTCAAGATGAACATGATAACCAATAGTCTAATTATAATGTACTGGTTATTACCAAAATTATTATTCTCTTGGTTTGATGAATTAAAATCAAAAAGGATTTAAGGTAAAATTTTATTAATGATTTATTCATTATCATTAGGCTTTTAGTTCATTTAAAGATATTTAATTAGATAATGAAGTTACTTCGTCTTTTGGCTTTAAAGATAAAAGATGAGGAAATTATATTTTTATTATGTTTACTTTTCTGATGATGAATTCTTGTTAAATGAGTGATGATACAAAATTAACGAAATGTTTTTACCTTCGATAAAATATTAAATGACTCAAAGTTATCGTAGAGCTTGAAAAAAATTAGACATATGAAAGATAAATGGATTTCATCCCACATAATCTGTGGCTTATCAACGATATATGGGACCTTTGCAATAGAAAGGGGGAAACAGCGGAAGAAATCAATTACTTTTATATGCCAAATATGATTTTTAGGTTAAAATATGTTCAGATTTAGCATTAACTCAATTTTTATTTTTTTCCACCCCTTTTCTATTGCAAAGGCCCCATATATTCAAACCTCTCCCCTTGGTACTTACTATAGTGAAAAATTTAAATAATGTGCATTTAAATAGGGTGTGCATTTAAAGAGAAATTTTCTATATGGGACCTTTGCAATGGAAAAAAATCAATTTTATTTTTATATGCCAAATATGATTTTAAGTCAAAATATTTTCAGATTTATCATTAACTCATTTTTTATTTTTCCAGCCGTTTCCCTCATTTTTATTGCAAAGGTCCCATATGATCTCTATATGCTTGGGAGCGTGCATTTAGAGAGGGTGCATTTAGATGTAAATTGTACAAAATTTATGGATCTCAACTGTCATTGATAAGGCAAAATCTTCAAAAGAAAGTAGAATTCATGTTAGCGAAGAAATTATTATTATGGAATGATTTAAGAGCTCCGATTTTGAAATTTGACAAGATTAATTAAACATATTGCAATTACACATATCAATAGAAAATCATTGTGAAGTATTGCAAAAAAACGACAAAATTTATATTTTTTTTAGAATGAAAAGTTAAGATTAATAATGACAATTTAATTATAGATGTTAGGGAAACTTTGTTCAAGATACTTACCACATTACTGATTTTTAGGACATCAGATATTTACTTTGTAAAATGAACATTTTCAAGTTCAAAAAATTACTGACCTTGTTGAAAAAGGACGAAAAGATCTGTAGTAAACTGACATAGCACGATTTTCTAGCAGATATTAATAATCTGGAGGGAGATCAATAATTTGCTAATATTACGCTATGGCGCGCGTTGTCCAGAATTTTCAATTTTGGCGTCTTATTCTATATATTTATGTATTATTTTTTTTTTTGGTTTTGTTAATTTACGGAAGCATTTTTTGAACATTTTGAAAATATGAAAGGTTTTAGTTTTAATAAGATAGATACGACTTCCTTTATGAATATACTGGGTGCAACTATTTGAAAAAAAAAAGATTTTTTTCTTTCTTAAATTCAATCGATAGCTTTAGTAATACTTAAATTCATTAGACCAAAATTGATAAAATTTAAATTAGTTAGGATTTAGAAATTATTTTCCTTATTTGTATTACATAACTTGAATAATAAGAAAATAAAATAATTTTGTGTGAAATTTTGACTTCAATAATTCGAATGGAATCATAATTAATTTACATCAAAGAATAATGACGTGACTTTAATAGCTTTAATCTAATAATTTTCTTAGCCTATATTTGTATAAGACTCGAACTAAAAAAGGATATGAATTAGATTAAATTAATCATTATTGAATCAGTGATGCGTTTATTCATTCTTTGATTTTAAAAATATGATAGAATTGAATTTAAATTTTTTATTTAGAATTTGCGAAAATTTCACCTAGATTTGAATATTTATAAAAATAGTTCATTTTATTATAAAATTTATACTAATACGTTAAATACGTTTGAAATAAGTTTTGTAATTAGGAAATTACCAAAGAATTAAATAAAGACTCAGTTGTTGACAAATTAGTTAATCTTGTATATCGTCAATTAAATATTGTAATCCCGATATTTTGTATATTAAAGTGTTTGAGATTGTATTTAATTATTAATTTGGATTTTAAATTACTTAAAATATTAAATTCGTGAAAATTATGTAATCGCTTATTCTTGAATTCGCAAGATGGTTGAACATTGAGATAATATTTAAGGGACAACGCTAGTACTTTTAGATAAGGAAATCAATTGAAATTGCAAGAGCGATTTTTTTTGGTTAAATGAAAATAAAAATTGTACAACGAGACCTTGTAAGTTTAATTCATTATAATTCTTTTAAATATAATTAATATACCATCATGTGGTGTTATTCACATTTTAATAATTAATCAAATTTACTAAAAGTAGTTCACTTTTTTTTTTTTATTATTTATATTATTTACCAATTATTTAAAAATAAATAAATATTGAATTTTCATATGATACCACATACAGTATATATATTGAACACACCAGTGTCAGATGATCAAATGTTTGGAATACTTACCTAATATAGTAATTAATAAACGAAGCCATACACATTATTTAACACCAAAACAAAAAACATCGTTATTTTTTTTCCATCGTTGTCTTTTAAGAAGCCATTGGACTTGATATGATTGTTTTGACGTTATCTAATATTATAACTTCTTGTGTATCTCCTTTTATTATGAATCAAGTTCTTTATGCTGAAAACAATAACGATAACATGAGTGGTGAATCAAAATCACCATCACCACCACCGAAGGAAGCATCTTCCCACTGAAGGAACCACCCGAACGAAGTAAACAAATTATATTATATTGTTTCGTTAATATATCAAAGAGCAGTTTTTAATAATAATAATAATAAACCGTTACGTTCTGGTTCAAAAACGTTATATAGAAAGTCTAAACTTCATGAAATCTTGGAATGTGGGAACCTTTGATAGGCGGAATTTTAGAATTGGGGTTTGAAATAAAACCTCGTTGAGACTAAAAGATTTACGGACTTGCTAAGGTTATTCTCGTCATACCGCAGTTTGAAGCAAGCGTTGACCTTAACTTCGAAGATGTTGTTGCAATTATTACTTCAAGAATTGTATGACAGAGTTTTATCAGGATAATAAGTTACGTCATTAGTTTGCAATTAATGCAATACTTCATTCAATAAGGATGTCATATAAAAAGAATTCCGACGAGTCGATTGCGTGACTAAGAAAATTTCTATAAGGCGATCAAGACTTGACTTGTTAATAAGCTCAGCTCATTCTTCGAGGGCCTTACTTGTATCTCCAAAGATCAAACACATATCGTTCAGGTAAGTGTTGTAATTATATTCCCGACTTTCATGCTTGTTAAGCAATCTAATTTTGTAGGATTACCTGATTTCTCGCATTCTACTATATACAATATCAACCATCTTATTACGTAATACAATCATCATATAATTAACATCTCAGTATGAGTTAAATTTATTTGCTCTATAGTTTAGAAAAGAAATTCTTAGACTCAACAAAATTCTTTTTATAATCTATTCTATCTCCTTTTCGTCTCACAACTATACAATTGATGAACTTTTGATTAAAACAATTGAACAGTTCTCGTATCCTGGTAAGTTGATCATATCTATCCTGTTCGATTACTTCAATCAACTAACCTTTCATAGTAAATATTTATAATTGTTTCGTTATTTTATTCAGAATATTGGTCAAGAGGCACACTTATTGGGGAAAATTTCGACATATGACTACATAACTTATCCAAAATGCGACCATTGAGGAATGTCACCAAGCTCTAACAAAATATATAGATGCTCTTTCTAAGTTCTATAACAAGAACTAGTAGACTTTAGAACTGGAAGCACTTCGTGGTTACAGTTTGCGAAGCTTCCAGTTTGGAAACCAGACCTGGCATACGGAAAGCGGCCTACTGTAAATGTTCTTCTATTGATTCTACAAAATTTGTCTGAAGAGTTGAAACCACTCTGTTAGTGATTACAGGTAGAACCCAAGTGTCCTGACTTGCCAGCAGTCAGATACTTGGACTGAGATAGGGTTTATCTACAAGGGTGTTGTTACGAGTGCCATTCATCGCTGACGAGCCAAATCTTATCATAATCACGAAGCAGTTACCATCTCAATTAGCCGAATTGCTATTGGTGGAATGGTGCCTTGCAGTGCCATGCCCAGTCTCCCCAGACTTTGACTGTTGGCATGTGCATTTTAGCTGACTCAGAATTATACTGATTACTTTTTTTTCTTTTTATCTACATAAAAAGTTGCAACCGAGTGAAGCAAGTACGTCAAATCAGTCGTGTAAAGAAGATATTGTAATTGAAGCTGAGGATGACGATTTGGATGAACCAGGTCCGTAAATTTTTACAAGCGAATCCAATAGTGCAATATGACTGTCAATCACTTAGAACAAATAAATCATTATTGCGAGATACTTACAGACTTACAGTCACATGACAACGAAGAGGATTCACAACGCACCCGTCACCCTTTAGCAATGTTGAAGCGGTCCGTAGTCAACTTGGAAATATTTGATGGTGCTAGACAAAAAATGATCAATGTTTCAATACCACAGTTGCGCTCAAGATTTTATTTGTATGATGAACTTCGATCAATAGCTAGGATATTGCAATCGCTTAAGAAGAAAGGTTGAATTTATACCAATGATCCAATATTATATTTACAGTTTTCCGTCGGATATTTTGGAATCGTTCACAAAATACTCCTTATTACAGTGATGGCAAATGACCAGGTCATTTGATAATTTTGAAATGACCTCTGAATGACCATCGAATGACCTAGTCATTTG